AAAAGTTCGAAAGGAAATCAATGAATGAAAGGAAAAGAAAGAACAGACGGCTGGAAGAAAGAAAGAAAGAAAGAAAGAAAGAAAGAAAGGAAAGGATGTTCGATAAAGGAAAGTTCAAGGAAAAGGAAATAAAGAGAAGAACAGACTGGCTGGAAGTAAAAGAAAGAAAGAAAGAAAGAAAGAAAGAAAGAAAGAAAGAAAGAAAGAAAGAAAAGAAAACAAGAGGATGTTCGATAAAGGAAATCATTCATGAATGAAAAGGAAAGAAAATGAGAAGAACGAATGACTGGAAGAAAGAAGAAAGAAAGAAAGAAAAGAAAGAAAGAAAGAAAGAAAGAAAGAAAACAAGAGAGGGATGTTCGATAAAGAAATCATTCATGAATGAAACAGAAAAAAGAAGAAAAACAGAAAGGCTGGAAGAAAGAAAAAAAAGAAAGAAAAAAAAGAAAAGAAAGAAAGAAAAAAACCAAAACAACATGCATAATGAAAGGGAAAAAAAGAAAGATCATTGATTATTTTGCATAAAAGAAAAAAGAAAATCATTGTTAAAAAAAAATGTTAAAAAAACAATGAAAGAAAAACACGACAATCTGATTGTTTTTCTTTTAACTTTTGGCGATTCTTTAAGCTCTTGTCCCACGAGTCAATGTCAGAATATACTGACACATGATTTCAAGGAATTTGTGCGATTTAGCTAATCCAGATCAGGCTTTGACTCACATCTAACTGACACAGCCGTTTTAAATTTGAGCTGCAGTTTTATATTGCTTGCTGGGAACAATCGACAAGGATTTTCGAGAAAACGTAGGTTCCATTGGTTATTTAATTTGGTTCCAGTACCAAATTTAAGCAAGGTTTCACAAGATCAGTAACATATGAGTGACGATTTAGAATTTTAGATACTGTGTTCTTTATCGGCTAACCTCACTTTGTTCATATTCTTCATATCAGGATGCTCACCTTCATTATGTTGAAAGAAGGATGAAGAGACAAAATAAAACAATGACGCGAGAAATATGGCTTTCTTTCAAATTCTTGTTCTTTTATTTCACTGAAAATCTTACTCTTTATTTTATTTCTTTGAAAAACTTTCTCTTCCTTTTCTTTCTGACAAATCTATTTTTATGTTATTTCTTCAACAAACTCTCTTCTTCTTTTTACTTTTATTTATTTGAATACGATTCTATTTTTTCATTTTTAAAGAAATTTTTCTTTTTCTCTGAGAAACTTTATCGTTCTTTTTATCATTTCTTTGAAAAACATTCTTTCTTTTTTGTTTCTCTAACGTACTTTCCCTTTCTTTTTTTCTTCGATAAATCTCTTTTTCTTTTCATTCTTTAACAAAATTTTTCTTTTCTTTTCTTTCTTCGACAAACTTACTTTTTCTTTTATTTCTTTCAAACCCTTTATTTTTCTTTCTCTTTCTTTGACAATGTTTCTTTCTTTCTTCGACAAACATTTTTGTCGGCCTAATCAGAAAAAAGAATTTTATCTCAACAAAATCTACATTAGGGAGACAAAAAGTAATTCGCGTTACACATATGAACGCTTGATTTTGTCTTTAACTCTATCGTTATAAAAAAAATGAATATAACAAGATACTCAGTTTTATGTTTACTTATTTCTTCAGTTATCGAATACTGATGTTTGCAAGGTTCAGTGACATATACACATACCAAATAGATAGATAGATAGATAGATAGATAGATAGATAGATAGATAGCAACAGACTGAGATAGATAGATAGATAGATAGATAGATAGATAGATAGATAGATAGATAGATAGATAGATAGAATCTTGCCTCATTTTTAAAAACAGTACTTAATGCAAAAAATCTTTTTCGTTAATTCCAGAATAATAACCTTTCTCTGCTTAATGTATTAGTCGTTTCCACGCAGGAAACATTTGGCATTCATTAATTAAAAAGTTAGCGTTACAATCGCTTGAAATTTATATAATATTTCTATTAAAACAGTTCTTTTTCAGAGAATTAGACTCCTCAAATCCACTGTTACTGATCTTTCTAATATTGAAGATATTTCCTTTTCAAATAATATGAAAAATTAATATCTTGATGATATTATTGTCTCTTCCAGTTACATGTGCTAACCATTTTTGTTATTACTGCTGTTGGAAGTCTTCAAGTGAAATAGTTTTTGTTATTTGGTAAATCTCGTTGGTTTTGATATTGTAGCGCAAATCTATAGGCTCTAATGAAAGACTGTATTCTTTAAGACAAAGATTCCTTAGCTTGAAGCGATGTGTAATCATTAATCTGAGAAAACTTACATATAGATATCGGTTGAGACATTTCTAGACGAGATGTAGTGTTTGCATTTTGTCCATATGAAAATCTAGATCTGACGAAACTAAGAAGATGACTAGTAAAATTTCTTAAATGTGGGCGTCGTTTTTTATAATATTCGTGTTATGATATTTCTCTTTCATTGTTAAGAGCAGATCGTCAACTATAATCACTAAGCAAGATAATCTTAATGGGGAATCAAACTCACTACTCAGTTTTCACATTAAACCAGGTCAAGGCCTTCTGGTGTGTTCTACTCGGATTATTCAAACTAATTATCCGTGCCAACAGATCTACAAAACTATCTTCAGGGCTATGACGCAATGAAAGGCGTACAATTAAATATATTTTGACCAGATTTAATATACTATACTTTTAGTGTATTTTATTTAGTTGACATGTGGGAGCACAATAATTTTTTTTTTAGAAAATCACAAACTTTTCGGCAACTCCTGCAGCATTGGTTCAAATATTTTAAATCCAACGTTAATGACATCACTACAAATCTCGCTAACTGATAATGATTAACTTTCGAAAAAAAATAGATGATCAAAAACATCAGAACGATTAAATAAATCCATAAAGTTTAATAATTATTTTGCATTATTGAAAATGTTTTAGGGTAAAATTATAAAATAGGGTATTTTACTAAATTACACCGGCTCTTTACTGGCTCTTGCATTGTAAACATGGAGAAAAAATCTCTGACGTCATTGGAACTTAGAAAACTGATAGTCAAGTTATGTAATGAAGATAAACCCTCGATTGGGTTATTTTTTTTTTTTTGAATGTTGTATATTTATTCTTATAACTTTATCAAAATCAGTTTATTGAGCTTTATATTTTGGAATTATAGAATTTACCTTTATGTCCTTATTTTTCCTTGATAAAATGTTCTTTGAAGCTTTAAAATAAAAAGTTACTTCACATTTAGATTTTTTCTTAACATAGTTCTGATCTTTATGCTTGCTTATATACATATATATATATATATATATATATATATATATATATATATATATATAATCTAACAGATCCTATTAATATAAAATATTAAAACTGACCCACAAAAGAGAACACAATATAATTTTTATTATAGATCATATAACTGAATTACAATTAATGAGATCCAAACGATTTACCTCATACATTGAAGTAAATCGTATGAGGCAAATCTTTTGGATCTCATTATATATATATATATATATATATATATATATATATATATATATATATATATATTAAGCTCTTGAAAATATATTTCAATTGAGCACTGTTGAGAGATAGACTGATTCTATAAACAACAGTCACCTACGTTAATGCAAAGTTCTTCAGTAAAATAAATTGGAGGACTTTTCATTATTTTATAATATAGAGGTAAAAAATTCCATAATGGATAACTTTTTCATGTTCTAATAAACACTCGGCACATTGTCAACCGTTTTGCATTTAAAGGCATAATGAAAAATTACGGTAATTGATAACAACGCATACCTTTGTATAAATACTTATACTAATGAACAACATATTGTTTTGTACTACTTGCACCCCTGAAGATGATCTTGCAAGAAGATCGAAAGTACTTGGGAAATTAAAATAAAAGAAATTTAAACAGCTAGAGCACATTTGTTTCATTCTTTAACATCAATACACGGAAGGTTATTCGTGAGTATGAACGGATTTTATTCAAATTTATCAGACATAATGTCTGTAATTTATTCACCCAGACATGCCTAGAAGAGAATTTGCTGCCTAAATACACAAATAAATATATATATATATATATATATATATATATATATATATATATAATTAGGAAAAATTTCATTGTTGGTAATAAATTTATTTCGATGAATATGGACATACTCATCTCGTCAGACCGACTACATTTTATTAAATGGAATAAATAGCAACCAGATATACAAATATAAAAAAAAATATAAGATAAATTTAAAAAATAATAAAAAGATATGAGACGAAACAGAAGCAAAAATAAAATGACGTAGAAAAGTTTTCTTGGGAGGGGTGGGGGTTACATTAAGAAGAGAGAACAAATTAATATAACGAGTAAGGGAAGGTAAAGAAATAGGAAGGTCAAAATTAAAACTGAGTTAGAGCATTGTATCAAGTTTACAAAAGATGGTAATTAAAGTGGTTTCTGTTTAGACGGCATCATCATCATCATCATATAATACAATGATCATCGTATAATACTAATATTAAAAAATTAAGAAAAATATGTAATATAAATACATACATATATATCTATATATAACAAAATATAATAATAAATAAAAAATCAAGATAACCATAATAATAATCTATTAATCTAACAAAATATAAATAACAATAATAAATAAGCAAAACATAATTGACAAATACAATACTAATAAAAATAATATATATGGTAAAACAATAAATAAAATATAATATATATATATATATATATATATATATATATATATATATATATATGATGTACGCATCAGTATGGTAATCACATACATAATCAAATGCATTTACCCTAAAAACATTGACTTTACGGGAACTGCACTTGTGATTTTGGTTCTTATTGCATATGGGTAAAAGCATATATGTTTATATGTGTTCGCATGTATGTGTGTATTTGTCACACACACACACACACACATGAGTGTGTGTGTGTGTGTGTGTGTGTGTGTAACTGGATGGAC